CAATATGTCATATTAATTAGTGTGTGTTAAGATAGCCCACACAATCAAAGTCAAGAAAAGTCAATGGAAAGACACAATTAATCACTGCTCAAGCTAATGAGAAGACACAAAAAGACATCAGCTTGAGTAAAAAAATGTGCACGTCACAGATAAATGCACAGAGCTGAGAGGAAACAGGTGACCAGAGAGAAACAGGTTCTTGATGACTTCTGGGTTCACACAGAACACACAGACCCACACACTGGAGCTCTGATGAAGACATAGTAGTGTTGAAACATTCGTCTATTTGCACAATTAAAGGCTGAAAATTAAGACGTGTACTCTGAACGTTTGCTGTCTTCAAGCTGAGAAGCACCTGGTTGAGCTGCTTTTTTTCTGGAAGATGCACGGAGAACCCTGTTCTGATACAGGCCCACACCTACAGACAGGGTCGGGTTGAGCTGACAGCTGACATACAGTTGGTGACTCAGCTGTTGATTCACATTTTTGGTGTCAAAACACACAAACACAACATCTCCCGGCTAAGAAGTGCTCCATAGTTAATGCAGAGAGACGAACATTTAACTGTTGTTAAACTATTTGCTGACATGCTGTTCCGTTATAAAAGTGAGACAATAAGTTCTGCTTTGCTTTTTTATTTAGTGTTTAGATATATTTTATTTCTTATTAATACTTGTGTTTATATCTTTATTACATATTTTAAACTTTCCTGCTTCTTTTAAGACTTTTAAATGAACAGAGAGCAATTTCCTCTCAGGGATCAATAAAGTATTTCTGATTCTGAATAGCTTCAAATATCTCGACACGCTTCTTTTCATATTCTGCAGGACTTTCTTTTGCCAAGAAACATTTAAAAAGAACTAGTCAGTGGCACGTCTAACAATGTTTGACTGGTCAGCCTGCAAGAGCAAAATCTTTTGTTATATTAATGAGACAGAATCTTTAAATAAGATTTTATTAATTTCATTTGCAGCATCACCTGAAAACATTTAAGAACTCTACACCCTGATCGTCACACGAGCAGGTCCTCGTAGTCTTCCTCCTGACAATTCAACCACACATGCAGCCTTGCTTCAGAACAGTTTTTTTTTCACGATGTAGCCAAATGACACGAGAAGTTCGACTGTACCGATAAGTCGTGGTAACCATAGCAACGGAGCAGTGACAGCAGCACCTCTCATTATCACCGTCGTGTTCCTATAGGCACAGGTGTACATGCCGCACACACACACGTCCTCATCGTTTAGTAATCACACGCAAACGTATCGGTAGCATCTCCTCGTGAGCCGTGCAGAAGGTGTTTTCATGATTATGGCATTTGAATGACAGCTGTGCCCTTTTCATGTGGCGTTCACTGAGAGCTGCCCTTGTGGGAACTCGCAGTGTTTCCACTAAGGATGACTCACGCTGAAGATTAGACCCCCCCCCCTCTAACTCTTTGCCCTCCCACTCGCTTTTTCCCTCTCTTTTTCCTTCATCACCTCCCTCCTCCCCGCTTTTTCGGCCACTTCAGCCTCTCTTCGCCTCTCATTTTTCTCCTGCGACACTGTGCCTCTCTCTCTTAAGAGGCTACGTGGTCTGTTGTACGTCTCTGAGAATTTTCCACCAGAAAATTCTTGAATCCTCATTTGACTTGTGCAGCCTGGAGATGCGGCGCGCTGTCCAGCTGGTGTGAGCAGCTGCTTGTAATGTGGAAAGTGAAAAAAAAACAAAAAACAGAAAGATGCCACAGACTCAAATTCCCTGCACATGAAATACTACTGATTAGATGAAGGTCTTTGTCAGGGTAAAAAAAAAAGAAGCTTTAATTATTCACTGAGCAGCTCAACCATA